GGAGAGAGAGAGAGAGAGAGAGAGAGAGAGAGAGAGAGAGAGAGAGAGAGACGAGACGGAAAAGGAGAAATAGGGTTGTAAGGAGATATCGAATGAGGAAGCGTAGGATGGATTCACTTTCCAAAGTGTATTGCCCCGTCGCATCAGACACATAATACTGAAAACGTGTTCTTTTTCTTCAATCGCCACTCCTGTCGATAAGCATCCTCCACAGGCAAGTAAATCCTGAAACTGGATCATGTATCACAGTCTCGTAATTGATAAATACTCCACAGTCTAAGTCTTAATGAAGGAACAGGAGTAAAGTCTTGATAATATCAAGGCATATCATATGACTACTCAGTAGCAAGCCTTTCAAGAAAAGCTTCGAAATATAGGCCATCTTTAGCTACATGAGACGGGGATCCTGTGTCTCAACGAGAATGTCAAAAGTCGTTTTTCTTTTACAATTTACATTTCAAGAAAATTGGAGTGTGTAGGTGTCCAGATAATGAGGCCACCGAACCTAATCCGATACTTTGCCACGCTCCACCTTCATTCTTCCTCACAAGCCTGTAGCTCATTGTATCCAACATTTTTCGTTTTTTAGTAAGAATATAGTATGACAAAACTGACATTTTAAACCAGTCCGACTTTTTGTAAAAATTGTGTTCTTGATCATTTCATTTATATCTACTTTGTGTTTATTATGCTGCTTTAATTTACGTCTGAGATAACCATTCGATTAAACAAAATCAACCTGAAGGTATACTTACATAATTTGAAAAATAAAACAGATTAATGTTTTGAACGATTTACACATCATTAAAATGGGCGAGGAATATTGATTTTGTATTCCAAATTTTCTGTGTCTGTTTTTGTTTTGGTAAATGGTTTACCGTGCTCGCATCAGTTCATATGAGCGCACGGGACACGTTAAATATTTTCAGTTTGCCCGGGTGGCGGCGGAAGCTTACTCTTTTTCAATTTCAGAGCCACCAAAGGATCTTTAACATTCGGCACCCCCGGGATTTTTAACCCTTATCCAAGAAGGCTAGGTGTTAGAACTCACCTACCAGAAGATCAGGGATGTGGCTGAAATACAGCAGTAAGAAAGAGCCAAGGAGTAACACTAGAAAGCTTGCAGAAAGAGTCAGGATCCCAGAGGAGGGGGCAAAGGAGAGGGAGGAGGGGGCTGGAAGTAGAGATGAAAGCTGAAGACAGACAATGGTTAGACAGTGGGAAAGGAGGGGAAAGGATAACAATTTTAGAAAAGAAACTTTTCCGTCGCTGTCAGGTTTCAAACCCGGGACCTGTTGTATGAGAAGTGAATACCGTAACCAGTAGAGCACGAGAACCCCTCTAAATTTTCTAAACGAATGAGACTGAGTTTGTTGTTGTGACACTCGCCTGTGCGTTAGTTGTTCTGTCTAATCTTTTCACAATAAAAATTTGGACAGAATAATGAGACAATCAAAATAAGGGAATGGTGTTCTATTTAAACTATTCTTCGAGGTTTTAAGTTTTGTGGCTGTTTTGTCCTATTTTATCCCGTTGTTTGCGAAACTAATAGCATGTATATATCTCTTTGTCTCTCATCCTCTATACCTGTAAAATAAGAACTCAAGATCAAGAACCCAGTAGACAAATGCTTCCGCAACATGGTTGACGTGAAGTTCACAGAGGTGGAAAGAGGTCATGATCTCCTGACATCATTAGGCACCATGAAGACATACGGTGACGTCACTGTAGAACAGACAATGTACAAGCAGGGAGAGATGGTTCTGGTTATCGACGAGGACGGAGAATATGTGGACATGGGCACCACGGGAATACCTTGTCTTGATGACATCACTTCCTGCAATTCTAGCTTCAATTTCCGCCTGACCTTTATCATCACTAAGATCAGCACCCAGCCGAACTATATTCTATCAAGTGGAGGGGAGCTCAACAATGCCACAGGCATATCATTGTATTACTTTGATGACAAGATCTACTTCTGGGTGAAAGACGGGACGATGATGCACAGAAAGTTCCTTGACAGAACGTTGGAAGAAAATACGTGGTACGTGCATAGCTGCATTGTTCATAAAGACATGTTTTAACAATATGTCTGTATGTCTGATCCTTTCCTACAGTGTTTTGACATTATTCGAAGACAAAGTGACGATATATTATAATATTTGGAAAGAAACGGATACTAACGCTTCCAACCTTATCAAAATTAAAACATTTTTCAAACAGATTAACTAAGAAAAAAAGAAAGCTTGCAACCTTCGTTCTACGTAATATCTGAAAAAAATATTTTTTAAAGTCTTGTTTACTGTCACGTATCGTTGCATTAGAAACTCCTTTTATATATTGGCATATGTTTTCTAAGTAGGCAAAGAAGAACAATGAAAAAAATTTTTTTTTAAAGTCTTGTTTAAAAGAAATCTAAAGGTGAGGGTTTTACTGTTTTGTACAGCTCATTTTGCTGTCATCTATCTCTGCATTAGAAACTCCTTTTATGTGTTAGCATAATGTTTTCTAAGTAGGCATTAAAGGAGTGAGGCAGAGAAGACATTGAGGGGGAATGAGGGATGAAACGCAAGATTGTACCATTTCTGAAGAGACGATTGCATTCTATTCCCGTTTAAAAAATGATTTGACCCAACAAGGCAAACTAGGCTAGATTAAAAGTGTTACAGGGTACCTAATAATGAACTGCAAAATGATTAAAGTTTTGTATTTGTGGATTTTATTGCATTCATTTCAAATAGGTACACTCTGGACGCCTCATGGGACTCCAACACGAAGAAAATCGATGTCTACCTCGACGGACAAGAGGTGAAGGGTTTGCAGTTCCCATCCTCACCTACACCCAGTACAATGGACAAGTACTCTTTGCTTATCGCCAAGTCTCCAGAAAAACCTAGCAGTACCCGCATGAACATATTGCTCTTCAGATTCTGGGAAGAGACAAGGACACAGCTTGTCAAGGATGGGTGTGAGAAAAGTGAGTTTCCATGTATGGAAATTGTGTTTTCCGGTTTGTCTTGTGAGCCCAATTTTCAAATACGTAAACTTAAGATATAGATTTACACTACCAAACCATAGAGATTGCTGAAATATTAGCTCCATTACCCATTAACGTAATGGTGATGTACTTGAGTGTAACATTTTAACAGGCATTCATTATTATAGTAATATTGAATTGACGACTTCATGCAAATCATGATAGCTGACAAGTAAATGACAGGTCTCATTTAGAGGAAACAATTCATAATGCGTAAGGTTGTAATTTCACTTATAAAAGTCAGTTACCGCTCAAAGTCAAAGAAGTTAACCGTGCTCCTTCAATCAAATCTCAAGGATTAAATGTTAAGGATTGCTACTTAAGAGGAAGAATTCAAATCGTTATACGCCATTCTACCACGGCTAGAAATGCATTCATACTGCAGCTTCGTATTATGTTATTTTGTGTTCGTATACTTGGCTGAACCGGTGCCGATAGCTGCTTGAAGTTGCAACTTCTTAAAACGTACACGTCATGTCTTCACAGTCCTCCAAGTGGACAACCCACCGAATCCCATTACGACCCCGGCGCCCACCACTACACCTAGCACGACCGCACAGCTCCCTCTTCACAAGACACAAGTGACTTTCACCACGATTGTGGGAAACACGTTGGTGACAAACTACCATAACATGACTATCCACGGCAGTGTCTACCTCGAGGTAGTGCCTGCAGGTAAAAAGACTTTACTCAGATCTATAGTCTAGAGACGTCCGTTATTTACATGTTTTCCAGATGAGTTTTTTTTTTTTCTTTTGGGGGGGGGGTTAAAAACTTATCTATCTATCTATCTATCTATCTATCTATCTATCTATCTATCTATCTATCTATCTATCTATCTATCTATCTATCTATCTATCTATCTATCTATCTTATATATATACATATATACACATAGACCGCCGACAAAGTATCCAGATAAATGATGAGCTGTTTATTCATACTAAATCCATCTATCTTTGTCTCAATGTCCGTCTGTGTGGGTGGCTGCGTGTGCTGCAAACGAGTACTTTTCGCCTCCCCCTTGACATTTTGAAATATTTGAAATATTATAAAGACTCTATCTAAGACGTCCACCTGTCTAAGGCAACCATTTTTTACATGGAAATGACTGGTCGTCTTGGACACTTCCGACTGTATCTGTTTTACCATTCTCAACTCAGTTGTGATGTTTTGCAAACTCATTCCACGAAAATGGTCCCCAGGCAACGTTCTTGTGCTCGAGAAACCAGGCTCTTTTGTGGACGTGGGCAAGACAGGCATCCCGTGCCTTGACGACATTGCTTCCTGTAACACAGGCTTCAACTTCCGCCTTACATGTTCGCTGACATCTCTCACCACCAACCCTCAAGTAAGAACATAAGAACATAATATTATGTTAATCGTTCTGTTTGTTCAACTTTACCTCTACCCCCCTCTTCCATTAGTTATCTCTGGTTATTAACTGCACAAAAGTAACAACGCACATCTTTAACCAAGTTTGCACAGGTTCGAGTGATGCACTTTCCCAAACTCAGAGACTCTAAGACTCTCGGATCTTGACATCATCTATCGGAGATGAACGCTAAATCAAGGAGACATAACTGTCGTCTAAGACATATATGGTTTACATCGTTGCCACTGTCTACACACTAACCTTGGACTGCACAAAAGGTGGTGATGTTCGGGCTCCTTCATAGATTGCACAGTAAAATAAACCTAAGTCTTATGTCGTCTTTCTGTGGGAAAGTAACACAGTCATCCAATCCTTTAGCTAGACACAGGCATGACAACACAAAGCAGGCTATGTCCTATATAATTCAAATTTATTCTGAAGTGGTAAAAGATTTACAACAACGTAGATTAAGGTGTTTTCAAGGCCTTAAAAGAAAGAAAAGCTAGCATGCAAGACATGTATTTCGAAATCATTCGTCTAATGTTTAATTCTGACCCCCCAAAAATCACATATCGCTTATTACTACCCACGCTTTTTCGGAATGTCCCTTTCTCCTATTACAGAAAGCGTATATCTCTTAAACCACTCAGTTTTGCGACCTGGGTTTCAGATAATTCATGTGATTATGCAGAGACAACTGTTATTAGTTGTGTTTTATTGTGCTTTGCTTTTTAAGTTGGTTTTTATATGAAAAGCAAAGCAGGGCTCCATAAAGCCACATTTGTCTTCGAAGAAAAATAATTTCAAAATCTTCATATTCCCCCACACACCCACTCACCTTATAAACGCTCACAACAGCGTATAGTGTGTGGAATGATGCTAATTGTGCGGCCAAAAATTCGAGAAGCAACTCATTGTCAAATATTGTCTAAACTATCAAACATAGATTCTCTATGTTTTGCACATGTATCAATTTGTCTTAACAGATCGATATTTTTGTAAACAGCTGTTTGCTGTATTATAGAAAATTCCTTAATGAATACTCATTTTTAAAATCCAAGTGGTGTCTACAGGTTTACAGCAATATCGCTTTTAAAGGCAAGTCCGTCATGTTTTTCTAATCGTGATACTATCTCTATTGAAGGCATGCAAAAATGTGTTCACTATAAAATCAACTTCTTGTAACATGTTTGCCACTAAAAAGTGTCATTAATGAGCTGTGACGTAGGCAATATACGTATACAAAATGTGTGTGAGAAGCGGGAAGCGCTGTGAACAATCCCCATTTTTCGCGTGACGGAGATTTATAGTATTTTATATATAAATTTATGAAGACATTTTTTTTAAAATCAAGTCTCAATTGTGGGAAAATATGTTAAGACAAATTGATAAAAACTGATGTGCAAAGTATGGGTGACATTCATTCTCCTGTTAAAGAGATATCTGAGGATAAGTTGCTCCACTTTTTTAAGATAGGCAATTTGCCGTGAACGCACGAGTTGTGACTTCGACATATTGTTTAAGAAATAATA